TGACAAGGACCTCTGAAAACTGGAGCTGTTTAAACAAAAGATACGATTTTAATCATAAATATGTAATAAAAGTCAACTGCAGTTCCAACTGACACAGATAACAACTCTGATGTAAATTTATTTAACTTTGATAAGTATTATATGTAATCCAAAATATGGAAAAGTGGCTAAATTAGTGAAATGATGTTCATTATTTATACAAAAAGATGTGAAGTTATTCTTACAAGGAACTGTGGTCGTCCCAGTGCAGTCATTTTAATTGCAGAGAATCCATCATTAGAAGCTCCACCTAAAATAAATAAGCAGTGTGGCTTAAAGGTGGCTGGTCATTTATTGCTAAAATTAATATTTACTTTTTTATATGTTGCAATAAACTACAGACAGCAAACATGTTGAGTAATAGACTTGCAAAAATCCACAGTATACTGTTTGCTTAATCAGCAATGATGTTTGTGAAGTTTGATCTGCTTTCATTTGCTTTAATGGTCAGTGAATGTCTTGACTCCATCATAAACTCAGAGGAATAACACAGTGACCTTGTTCTACTGCACAGAAAATATTGCCTACATACCAGCTCTTCACACAACTAGTACAAATATACAATCTTCAAGTCAACTCTGTCCTTCTTGTATTAATAATGCATTCATTTTTTTGACCTTTTTTACTTTAAAAATAAAAACCACATACGTTATTCCCTAACTGCTTCAGATACTACTTACCTGACGCTTTAATACAGTTTATGAATGTCTCCATTTGATTGTCACATTTGGCTTCATCAGCATAAAAGTATGTGCGAGCACTGATGACACCTCCACGTCTGTCCCCAAACTGACGGTGGGCCTTGTACTTCTTTTCACCATGACCTGCACCTAAAGAGCAAAACTGATCGTAACCAACTTATGTGAGGAAACAGTGCACTTCAACTTTGATTTTTATGGAGTAATTTACTTTTCATAAACTAGAATTGAATTATGTTGTAACTCAGTTCTAGAGTTTTGATGCAAATCTTTGTATCAAAATGATAAAAGTTATCATTAGTTTAATTGTATTTCATCTTATAGAGCTGAGCTATTTCACATGCAATGTTATATCATGAAACATATACAAATAATAATATAGCTAGACTTATAAACCAGATGAACATACATGGAGGAACATTTCTTTCAGAGAAAGCCTTGTAGCTGTGTTGTAAGGGTTAAACTATTCACGTGAATCAAACGTCATCCTGCTGCAGCAGCTGCACTGGACGTCTTGTACCTAACAAGAACCAGCTACAACCAGTGCAGACCAGCCAAAAGCAAATGTTGGCATGAGAGTCCAGCATGTCACTCTGCACTAAAACGGCTTTCACTTGCAGTGTCATCATTCCAAAGAAAGGCAATCCCTCTTCTCCCCTGTCGCTTCTTACTACATGGAGCATGTAACCTGATATGTTGCACAACTTTAAATAAATAAATCATCCCTAATGTGAACCAATATACACACCTGGGCTTTCCTTCTCTGCTTCAGAAACACAGGAACTGGGAAAAATAAAGGAGATTTGCATTAGAAGACTCGGTTATTCTTTATAGAATGTATGAATAAACATTTTTTTACTGATAAATTATATTTTCACAGTTAAGCTCATATGCTGAGAAACAACGTGATTCTGATTTATGATGACTTGCTGAGATATTTTGCCTTTTTCTCTTTATAATGAGGCAAACATTCTTCTTGATATTTCATCAAAGAAGGGACTGAAAAACAGAAAATGTTGTTTTTCATAGTAAAAGCATTTGGACAAAAACAAACTGTGTTTATTGCACCAGAGAAAAGTCCACAATCCTTCTTTGCAAGGGTAAAAGTGTATAATAAAAAGTCACAACACATCAGCCTTAAGAGTTGGCAGCCTTTTAATAATGTCCACTCCTCCAGCTGGATATCAGATCCAACCAATCAGAAGAGGGAGGTATGTCCCAATTGGCCAATAGGGGACAAGAACTGCTCCTTGTTGAAAACGAATATAAAACGCTTTAAGATTTGATTACAGGCCTTTAAAGAGGTGGAAAAACATGCTGTAGATTACACAGAACAGGAGTCATAACGGAAGCAATCCATGAAGCGATAAAATAAGGGCAGAAAGTACAGTACAGTGGAATATTACAGAGTTTATGGATGGAAAGAAAATATTTAAATTTAAAAGATGAAATCAAATTTTTTTTCTGAATGTAATTTGAGGAAAACCTCTGGTTTCTTTGTCTATCTTTACATGTTAAGCTGACTACTTCTGAAAATATTCCAAATTGGAAAAATTCCCATGCAAATTATAAAATGTAACTAACAGTTGGGGTAATTAGAACAACTATCATATTTAAACATAAATCTAAACACAAAAAAGACCTAAAAAAACACTTTCTGAAGCAATTACTGAGCAATTTCCATATGGTAAATGTGCTTAAATACCTCAATATTTTAATGCTATTATTGGACATCATTTCACCTCAGTCATACTCCTGTAAAGAAGGAGTCTCTGGAAATGTGTCTTGTCAGTGGTATTTAATGTTATTCCTGCAGATGCAATCCAAAACACTCTACTCACATTACAAATATGCAGGGAGATGGTTTTCACTCTCTTACTTTAAATATCCTTCTGAATTTCCAGTTTTAGTGCGTTTGTGTTATTATTGAATGACAACAAAGGCTTGAACAGAAAAACTCTGTTGTGGTGCAGGCACGCCCATTAAGATAAAAACAGGATATAAGGCAAATGTACTTGTTTCAACTGGTTTGCATGTATTAAGCATGTTATATAACTACAGAGGAAAGGGCCTGCCCTCCTTTTACATGTGAAGCTTACTAAACAGTGGTACAACTACTGAAATACAAACCTGAATTCACATTGCAGACAACTCAACCTTTGAATACAGTTATATTCAATAAATTAGAATATGTGTTCAGATGTAGCCCGTTTCTCAGATTACAAGTACCTTTTCAAAATAACATCCTTTAAGCAGGAAATTAAACATTCATTTCTATAAGTACGCATTTTTGTTTTTAATACTATTTTTTGTCATTGGTCTGGTGTAGATATTATAAATTAAAATTTTATATTTTTATTACATTTAAATGGGAAATTATTTACAGAAATAAGAGTTTTCAAACATTCATCTGTGTGTATTTGACCCATATAATGTGTTGAAGTTTCTAAAATAAATGGGGTTTTTTAGTAGTATTTTAATGGCTCTGTACTTACTCCATTTCTTTCTTCTCTGCCTCCTCTTGTGTCAGATCTTCTTCCACACTGTAGTCCAGCACTGCCCCCACACCAAAAGCCTGGTTCTTGTGGATTAAAGGTTTAATAGCGTTATGGTCTTCCCCTGCCACAAACTGACCATAGAAGGTCATCTTCATCAGCTTCTCAAACAACCGCTGACCCAGTAGCTTCTTACTGAGTTCCATCAGCTGAAAGAGCATGGAGAAGAGGTTATAACGCTGAGTTATTTTCCATTTGCAAGCTGCGCTACAACTTCTTCAGATGAACTCACCTCCTTATTCTTCTCAACAAGAATGTCAATTGTACACAGGTTGAAGACCAGCAGACTTCGCAGCAGCTCGATGTTATTCTTACTTTTGTACGCCTCTTCGGTGTTGTCGAAGTCGACGTGAATTCTGTTCAGACGCACGTCTTTGGCGTTTTTGGTCTGGCTGATGAGTTCTATCGGGACAGCATCCACCACCGCGCAGCCCTCTAACTGCCGCTGCGGCTCCTTCTCTTCCTGGCTCTTCGGGGATACCACAGTTGACCGACATCTTGAAGGTGAAATGCGAATTTTGTTGATGTTTCCCGACTTCGCTCGAGCAAGAGACGCAACAAACTTCGTGTAGGACATGTTTCCCCCTTCTTTCAGTGAGTGTTTTTGAAACGCAGAGACCAGTTCCGGGCTGCTTGCCTACTGCTTCAATGGATGACGGTTGTGTAATGAGCGCGCGAGTCGGTGCGGATGTTAACTCATCTCTCAGGTCGCGAGGGGAGGTTCCTCACATGTCGAAGCACGCGCCCTTACTAAAATAAAATAAAATATTCCACAAGGAATCCAACAGATTATCCTTTTGTTATTATATTCATCCATCCATTATCTAACATGCATTACTACTAAAAAAATTATATCATCAGACAGACAAAAGAAGTTGTGAGCAGATTCAAAAGGCTAAAATATATATGAAAAATAAATGACATAGTTTAAAAAACACTAATTCAAGCAAAAGAAAGACTTTTACCATTATTGTGTCTACGTCAAACCCCGTTGTAAATACTTTAAATGACAATACATAGTACATATGCTTGATCTCCAAATGGCACAGCAGGCTCAGCAAATAATATTAGGACAACAAAGCTGTGTCTCAGTTTATCATGAGCTTTATGTGTGTTTCTTTGTCTCATACATTTTTGGTTAAAATGTGTTGATTGTTCATTCATTAACGTCATTCGTCGTAGTTAAAATCTATTTTTTTAATTCAAGAAAGATGAATTATATTTCATAAAAATATTACTGAAGCGAGCAATATTTCAGTACGATGCACTAAAACTACTCCTAAAAACACACCTTCCATTTGCTCAAGTAAAAGTAACTTAATAAAGTTATTCTACCCGACCTTACAAAATAAAAGTACATGAGATATAAAACCGATTTAAAAAAATAATTCATTTGAGAATCTAGTTCAGAGTAATTTCTGAGATTTCGATCAAAAGCAAAAATAAATAAAATAAAGAAACAAAAAGAACAGATATCAAATTTATTCATTCCCTTTATGCTGGAAGCAAAGAAATAGAGGCACTTTTTCCTCTGGGGGCGGTAATGCACAACGAAGTATCCACACTGCCGTAAGAGAAGGAGAAGAAGAAGAAGAAGAAGGAGGAGGAGAAGAAGAAGCAGAAGCTAACGTTGCTAACACGGAAGAAGGTGTGTGTCTTGAGTAGTATCGTTTAAACAAAACATTAAGGTGATCTTTTAAAGGTAATTGTACTGTTTTGAACGTAATTAGTTTGTACTACAACATACACGATGTACTAAGTAATATTGCTGTTATAGATTAATAGAAGAATTGGCGCATTTTAGCCGCAGTGGCAGATTCTCAGCCAGGTTAGCTGATCAACAAAGAAATGTTACTTGCGTATCCAACGAACATATTCAGGTTCAAGTCGATACAAAACAGAAATCCTGCTAAATGAATGAGGTTACACGGTCAATAAACCAAATATTTTAAAAAATTAACATTTAATACCTGCTAAATCTTGTTAGTTGTAGTCGCAAAGCGTCCCTGTCGTTTATATTAGCTTTAGCCTCCACATTTATTTGGTGTTGTTGCAGTTTTATTGTGTGACTTAATGTTTAAATAAATCTGATATTCTAGTCCGTGCATGTAAAGCTTTCAGTTAAGGCTACGTGTTAATCTTCATTTAGTGGAAAAACAAGTCTGGCCGGTTCATCGTAAATGAAGGCCTTTGAAACCTCGTTCTGAATAGTGTAAAAGAAAATCAACCTTTAGCAAATCACTGGAACTTGAATAGGCGTGCCAGTTAAAAAAAATCTTTAGTTATTTATCTTATCAGCTATTTGTATAGCTGATATTTAGAATACCAGTATTCTAAATATTTCACGGTGCATTTTTTTGTGTGTTTTCTATTGTACTATAACAAATTTGTTTTTAAATTTCCTTTTGTTGGATGATTTATTCCCCTCAATTTACACCGAAATTTTTAAAATAGTTGGATCTAAAGATCATACAAAAATTGCTTAGTTAAATTAAAAATATTTTTTAGGAATTGACTTGAGATGTTGAGAAAACGCTCACAATTATTCTGCTGTAATAGTGATTACAATAAAAAACAATTGAACTTTAAATATTTTATTCAGCTAAAAGGTTTGGTTAATTTGCTTTAGAAATTTTATTTTTACAATTAAGAACACCAGCAGATAGTCTGTGTTAAATAAAAAACAGTGTGCTCATATTTGCTAACTAGTTTAATAGACATATATAAAAGTCTTTATATATAATTATAATTTTGGAACGTAACTATTGAAAAACTTTAAGGACAGCATATTTAACAAAACCAGATAATCATCTTGAGTAAAATTCAGCAAGTCTTTTTTCAGACAATATTTTGCTATAAATCATTATTCTTATCATCCCTGCTCTGAACATTTTGCACATGATAAACTACTAATAACTACATTTTGCTAAAGTAACGTCTCTTCCTATAATAAAACATGGTGTAAATTACTGGTTGTCAAAGCATGTGCAAAACATTTCTGTGGTTATTAGCATGGAAGCTCCAGTAAGAGTCAGTCTCCCTTTCCTGCCAAAAGACAAAAGGACCAAAATTGTAAAACTTTTTAGTGAAGGGGAAAACGGCAGAAACAACTTATTTGACTATTTAAAAACCAATGTCTAATTCATTAGTTTTTTTAATAGTCCGTAAAATTTCTAATTAGGGTTTAGAAATATCCAAGGAATGTTTAGTAGTATGTAGGCTTAGAAATGTTGTAGCATTATGATAGTTACTCTGCTGCTTTCTCAACTTCTCTGAAGCACTTTAGGGTTTTATCTCTTTCTGCTCACAACATTTTAAGGTTTTGGTTCATTTTTATATGAATGCTAACGCTATGCAATAAGTTCAACTGCATAAAAATGCTGTTTCTTATTAAACATTTTTTACCCTCTTTTAAAGTTTCAGGCTTGGATCCAGAGTTCTGAGGCAATTTTTTCTTGACCTCGTCATTTACTACTATCGTGACTTTGTCTCCAGTTTACAGATTAGAGATTTACAGATCTTTGTCCAAATTAAGGAATTTGCCTCCAATGGACTAAGTGTATGGATTTGGAAGAGGACCATTTCCAAAGCTGTTTCTGAAAGCAAGAGATGCACTTACAGTCTGCAGTTGCCCCTATTCTGTGTCAGCAGTGCTATCCAGTCATTCAACATGTCTGACGGCCGGATCTATGTTGGAAATCTCCCCATGGACGTCCAGGAGAGAGACATAGAGGATCTCTTCTTCAAATATGGAAAAATCCGAGAAATAGAACTGAAGAATAACAGAGGAACTGTTCCTTTTGCCTTCATCCGGTTCGAGGATCCACGGTGAGTTTTCGGGACGGTCTCTGGCAAGTCGAATCAGAACCCCCTTGTTGGACAGCTTTGATTTTGTGGTACAACTCTACTCCAATAATCAATCGCCAGCAGGAAATGGATGGAGGCACCAAATCCAACTTTTGCCCACTGGGTGTATTTTGGTAAGGAGTTATTTGCTCTCTTCTCTTAGGGATGCTGAGGATGCTGTCTTTGGAAGGAATGGATATGCATATGGGAATTCCAAGCTACGTGTAGAGTATCCTCGATCCTCTGCTGTCAAAACTGGTCCAATGGGAGGTTTTGGAGGAGCAGGACAGAGAGGAAGGTTTGGACCCCCAACTCGAAGATCCGAATTTCGGGTCATAGTGACTGGTAGGTGGATGCTGTGACTCGTGGCCCAATGATATTAATCTCTGTTAGGCTGCGACGACAAATTAAAGGGACTGTTAGGAATATAGGAGTCATAGTCAGCTATCATTTCTTCTCTCTCATGGCGGACAGGAGGACAAGGGCCCAGTAAATGGACCCCAAAGGTTGTAGACAAATATTTCTCTTTCATTGTGGCGAGGAGGACATGGACACCAAAAGTTGTATACAGATACTTCTCTCTCTCATGGTGGACAGCAGGACAAGGGCCTGGTAGATGGATCCCAAAAATTGTAGACAAAAATTTCACTCTCTTTCCAGGCGGACTGGGAAACGAGGGCCTCATAAATGGACCCTAAAATTTATAGACAAATATTTCTCTCTTTTATGGCGGACTGGAGGACAAGGGCCTAGTAGATGGATCCAACGATTGTAGACAAAAATCTCTCTCTATCATGGTGAACAGGAGGACAAGGGCCTAGTAGACGAATCCAAGGATTGTAGACAAATATTTCTTTCTATCATGGCGGACAGGAAGACAAGGGCCTTGTAGATGGACTCCAACCACTGTAGGCAAATAATTCTTTCATTGAGGAGAGGCGGAAAAGGGCCTTGTAGATGGATGCCAAAAGTTGTAGACAGATATTTTTCCCTCTTGGAGGACTGGAGGACGAGGGTTTTGTAGATGGATGCCAAAAGTTTGACAAATATTTCACTCTCTCTCGCCGTGGACTGGAGGACGTAGTAGATGGATCCCAAGTGTTATAGACAGACATTTCTCTCTCTCATGGCAAACTAGAGGAAAAAGGATGCCAAAAGTTGTAGACGCATAATGAAATCTCTCTCTCATGGCGGACTAGAGGAAAATGGATCTCAAAAGTTGTTGACAAATAATTCTATCTCTCTCTTATGGCGGACTGGAGGACAAGGGAAATAGTAAAGGATGTCTTGAGTCATAGGCAGATATGTTTTCTCTTGGACTGGAAGTCAAGGGGACTGAGTGGATGAGATGAAGTCTGCTTCTCAGATCATGAAAACTGAAACTAAACAAAAACTGATCATGTTGCCTGAATAATCCTAAACTGCTGCTGTAGTGACTGGTAGGTGTAATTTTATCATTGTGTATTTTTTATCTGTTGTTTTCCACTCTCACAAAATGTCAACATAACACACAGTGCTGTGTAATATTGCGTATTCAGTCATGTTCCAACCACAGATTTCCATGTATTTTAATAGAATTTTGTATAGGATACAAACACACAGTTGTGACTGGGGAAAATACACGCTTCTTTTAAACATCTTCCAAGTCCAACTCTGAAAGCTTTTATATTCATATTTTAACTCAAAAATACATTATTTAGACTGTTTCAGGACTATTGTGATGGGCTAACGACGCAATTTTTGACAGTAGAGATGATATTCCACATAAGTCTTTGACACCATCACTTGGCAAGTATTGCCTATTTAGCTTATATGCTTTGGCCACTAGGGATGGGTCATCGTACAAATGTTATTTAAGCTTTTGGGATGGTTATCAAGTGCTCTCAGTGGTAAAAAATAATAATTAGTTGCCATGGCTAAGCACCAACTTTCCAGTATTAAAAGATCAAGACTTTTTGTGCCAGTCAATCACACAAAATCCTCATACGATACATTGATTGTGGTGGTTGTATGAGTAGATATGAGCAAATTCGCTTTTGCAATGCACTGTTTGTAACTAGGCTGCTTGTGTTATTTGTCCAGAAAGACAGAGATTTCATACAATTTGTACTATTCTGAATATGACAACAATTTAAATATCGGCAGTCTAAAATAATCATATGGTTTATAGCTACCGAAAACTTTAGCTCCAGGGTTTTTAATTATACTAAAGACCAAATTTTACATCTGGCCTGATAGGGACTCAAATGAAAAGTTGGTAGTTACAATTTAAAATGGTCTTATCACATTTGAAGTCAGTCTGCATTTTAAGCAACTGCAGCTCAGGAGTTGACATTACACTTATCAATAAGTAACTTCTTCAAAGTGAAACTGTAAATGATTAAAGAACCTCCAAATCAACTCCTGAATCAGTAAGCAAGCTAACATTTCAAGTGAGTTAATCAGAGTTTGCATTTGTTTCATAAAGAACTTCATGAGCGTAATTTTTAGAATGTCATTCAGGCTTCATTTTTAAAAACTTTACACTTTGGTTAACCAAACCAAATTTACTCCTGTTGTCATTTATTTCTTAAACTTTTTTTCATCCTATTAACCCTCCCCTCCAAAGGTTTACCATCTACTGGAAGCTGGCAGGATCTGAAGGATCACATGCGAGAAGCAGGAGATGTTTGTTTCGCAGATGTACAGAGAGACGGCGAGGGCGTAGTGGAGTTTCTCCGTAGGGAGGATATGGAGTACGCGCTACGCCGACTTGACCGGACAGAGTTTCGCTCGCATCAGGTATGTGGCATCAGTGATGGTCAGAACAGAAACTATTGTTCATATTTGTAATTTATTGAATTTTTTTGCAGGGTGAGACCTCGTATATCCGAGTTTATGAGGAGAGAGGCGGTCCCAACTGGGGTCGTTCACGTTCTCGTTCCAGATCCCGAGGCCGCTATTCCCCTCCGTATTTCAACAGAGGATCTCCCCCTCGCTACCCGTCACCTCCACGCCATCCCATGCTAAGGCATAGTCCGCCTCCGAGGAGGCATCCCCCACCTCACCATAGCCCACCTCCACGTCATTACAGATAGAGGCCTCAGAATTTACACAACATCTGGAGGAAATTTTTCAAATTTCTGCTTTTTAACCATTTTGTTTGTTTTACGTCAGACATCCTCGTCCCTATTTTGGTATAAATCCATTCCATGGCCAGAAAACCCACAACAGCCAACTCTTTCTGCAGCCTTTAAGATATATTTTTTCCTGTTTTTAATTTGAGTTATTTCAAAACAGGATTAGTAATTTTTAAGTTGACATTCTGATGTTTACTTTGGTACTTAATTTCTTGGCTGTTCACAAAAACCTTGTCAGAAACTTATTTTGTGTTTTTAAACTGATCAAATTAAATTTTCCACTTTAGATTTTTTTTTTTTTGTAGGGATTTTTTTCATTTTTTCCTCTCAATGATATTAATCATTTGTGAGCCTTATAGCTGATGTCTGGGAACCTGTTGTTTTCTTCTAATGTGTGAACAGTTGATTAAAGTGACCTGTAAGTTGAGTATAATTTGTTGTTCTTTACCAATAAAATACAAACTCTTCTTGGGTCAGTTCCATTCTTGAACAGGCAAATCTAATCCACAAAACATTTATATTTAAAAACAACTTTGTTCATAGGCATTCGGGAAAGCATGGAATTAAATAAAATTATTTTCCAGGATAGGATTTGTTATTTTATTTGGTTTCTAGCTAAAGTTTTTTGATCAGTCGCATTTAGGTGTACAAAGTGATAAAAACAAATCCAGAACAGTGACTCAAAAGTCTGCACACATTCTCTTCTTGCCAGTTTTTGAAACAAAAAAGTGAAACCATGGTAAATAAATTAAAAATCTTTTGCACATGTCATATTTGTCCTCAACAGTTTAAAAAACAAATTGTTAGGTTGCACACTTTTTTCTGCCATAATATGCATACATTGCTGTAAAAAGTGTTTATATTCCAGATACAGTTGCTCAGTAGGATTCTTTAGAGCTATTGTCATATCTCTGGAAAAATAATGCTTTTAACTGAAATGATGCAAATGGGTAAATCTCAGAAATATATATTTAAACCTTGTACTTTAATTGATGTTTGTGTTTATGAACTCTTAACTGATATAATTTTATTTCAACTAAGTTGGTTATGTCTCGTGCTAAAGGTGGAGAAACTTTAACATACCTTCATAAATATTGGCAGGTTTTTTTTCCTCCCATAAAATGCACACACGGCACATCAGATGCAAAATAGAATATTTTTAATACACAATAAATTAATTATACTTGGGACCATTTCAGAAGACAGAAAAAAATAAATATATTTCCATGAATATGCTTTGTTTTCATCATTATTTAGACTTAACTGATATACAGACATTGTATTGCATTTATTAAATATGTACCAGCTAAGTATTTATACAATAAATCTGCTTCAATACATTTTATATCTTCTGATCACAAAAAGCTACACACAAGAAGCGATATCCAGGCAGTTTTTAGTTTGTATGGGGACACGTTAGCGGTGATACCAAAACACTGGAACTTAAGCCACATCAATGAACCAACACAGGTGTGTATCGGATATTTTGCAATTGTGATGTAGCACAAACAGCGTTTTTATCTGATAAAACTGATCTTTTTCAAGATGTTATCTTTAGATATTTTCAAGTTATTAAGGTTATCTTCCCCCTCAAAAAAGGTGTCCATATGTCGGGGTCAAAATCTCCAGGAATAATGCACTCAAGGACATGCACTTCTATTAAATGTTAGTTTTTCATCTCTAAAAGTTGACATATGAGAAGAAATGTTTAAGAAAACTTTTCTGTGCTTTTTCTAGTATATGCATGAGCATTAGCAATCATTAGCAACTCAAAATATCATTGAATGTTTTAACTAAGATTTAGAGCAACATGATGAGTCATGGTGAAATACTTTGGGTGTAAAGTCATATAAATCAGGATTACTCTTCTTACATAAAGCCTCAGTGGTGAGCATGTAAACTTGTGTTTCGGAAAACAAGAACACAATATCATTACGGTGTAGATGAAGAGAAGAGAGATCCTGACTGCTAATTTTACCAGGATGGTTGGACAAAAATGAATCTGTTGGGAGATGGGAGTTTAATGTGTTTCAGATTCACAGTCATGTTTTTCACCTCTGAAAGTTATCCTCATGTCACTTGCCTGACCGTGCACTGAAGCTCAATCTGTTGATGCGCACTTGTTGGATTTAATGAGCGTCATCAGCTGATGTTTTCATCCTCAACAGCAACATACACAGAGCTCTGCTTCTTATGTAAGTTTATAGAAAAAGTGAATGCAATAAATGTCTGTAGGTGAACAGGTGGATTTCTGAGAAGCACTGGCCTGGACAGAAATAAAAACTGACAACTGAGTCAAAGTACAAACTCAAGCGAGCTGAATCAGCTCTAAATCAATGCTTAGGAGATGTCGGAGAATGAGGGAAGAAGAATAAAGGCTGAAGCTAGTGGAAATGTTTGAGCCATGTCTATAACCAAAATATGCACATTCATGCTGGGTTGCACCGAGTTTGGGTCCGCATGTTTTCAAGGCTTGAGCGCATCGGAGGCACAAGACAGAAGGTTAACTGTCCCAGGTCTAAAAGCAGAACAAGGATGTCTACATGCAATTTGTGTCCAAATTGCATGTCAAAATTGCATCATCAAAATTATGTAATGACACTATATCAAATGAACATTAATTTTTTCCACAAGATGATTAACAATGGCAGCTACAATTTAATTCTGAGAAAATGCTCATGGTATCAGGTGAAAAGACATATTTTAAAGAGAGTGATGAATTTGGTTGCTGTATCCCTGAAAACAAACTTCAAAGTTTAAGGCTAAATAACATCCTGAAGCAAGATCTACAAGGGCACATTCACTGGGTGAACAATAACACTTCAAAAATAAATCTACTGGCAATGCTTGGGTCTCCTGAATATAAAGAGGAGCAACTGGCAAGAGGTTGTTTTACAACCACAGTTTGAATAATGAGCAGCATTAATGACCTCCAACCCAACGCTTTAATGACGTCTTCATGTGCCAGGATCTTTGAAACAATGTTGTACATCAATCAAAGGGTGATGGGATGCAGCATCTTTAGTGTGACTTGTTAATGTTACTTGTTTTCTATGAGCGTCTGAACTTGGTGAACAAGTTCTCGGGCTTTCATCAAGACCTTCGGGACGTCATGCCGCTCCGCCATTTCTGAGAACAGAGGACAGGAGTTGGATTGGCTGGCAAAATACAACATGTCAATTATTTTAGTCTTCATTTCTGTCGACATAGTCATATAAAAAAAAAAAAAGCTTTCAAATAGAGACCATACAACTTGTTACTTTACGCATCAGTTTTAATATTTGCTCAAAGCAGTTATCTAACTGCGCTGCAAAACTGCGCTGCAAAAGTAACACTATTTCTCGACAATGTGCTATGTTGCTCTGAGAGTACATTGCTGTCTGACTGTTTTTATGCCTGTAGTTCCATCTACTTTTCACAATTCAAAAGGTAGATGGATTAATACAGGTAATACTTTAAGATCTTTAAGTTTCAAGTCAACAGCAAGATGGTTGAAATGTAGACATAACTGGGTTCTCCAACATGGAAATGATCAGAAAATGCGAAAACGCTGCGAAATTCAGAGTTCATGGTTGGAAATGAGCCAAGAGGGCTTCAGTATTCATCCTTTCTCATCTTACCATTGAAAAACTTGATGATGTCTGTGAAGTCCATGTTATTTTCCAGAATGATGTCTCGGTACATCTCCACGAGGGCAAGAGCGATGAAAAGCACAAAGTGCTCAGAAGATGTGTTCTTGGCTGCCCAGATTGTTTCCCACACAGAGAATACGTCATCATACACCATTTCTGTTTGGAAAAACAATAACACAGTCCCTGATGATCATACTTTATACAACATATGATGGATTGATAAGGTTAGATGATCAAACATGGACGATTCTAATATTTTCCTTCCCACCTCTTTTAAAGTCAAGAAGGAACCAACGGTAACAGAAGTAGAAGTGAGTGTAGTCTCCATTCTGCTGCATCAGCTCAAACAGTTCAGAGTCCAGGATCTGTCCATGGAGAACCAGAGAATCAGCATGAGAGTGTGTCAGGGCTTATATATTGATACAACCTGAGAATCTGACATAACCAGCGACAAACCTGTATGAGTGATCGCATATTGGCAAAGTGAGTGTCCATGGCACCTCCATGTGGAAAATTCTGGTTCATCCTCTTCATCAGTTCAGTGAAGCAGCTGAATGCCATTACCTCTGTGAACATTCCCCAACACAGACATGAACATACTCAACCAACATGGGTCCTGCATGTGCACTAATCTAAACTCAAAGTTTGCACTTTACATATTACTGACCATCATCCAGAATAACCAGAAGAGGAGCCAATAAATCACACATGCCCTGCACATATCCCGTCTCTAGATGCTGCCACACGTAACTGTAATGATAACCACATTTTCAATGTTTCATGAGATTCGCCCCTGGGAGTTGAAGCACAGCTTTATAGATATATGTAGAACAAATAGTAAGTCAAATTGCATTTGGTGTAACAATCTTCCTTTATTGGTGCCACAATTTTTAGGGAAATGCATAAAAGGCTTGAACAGCAAAAAGGAACATGAGAGTTGTGAATAACTTGACTCATCCTCTTTGCTAATAGGAAAACGTTTTTTGTAGAGGTTTCAATAAATAGAACATAATGGCAGTCAAACAATTTATTCCTTGACTAGGCCAGGCTGATCCCATAAGTATTCACTCTGAGGACATTTGCATTAGCATAATGGAGGACAGAATTCACTCCCTAAAAGTGGAAACATGGAATTGCCAGTGACAGAAAAATTTCATCTCAGTATGTCTTCAAATAAGATTGTCTCCAGTGATGACAAATCTTTTTTTTTTTTCCAGTGAAGGAAATGCCACCTTATACTATCACACAGCCTCCACCAAATGATGTTTGGTGGAAGTTTTCTTTGGCTTACCCTACAAACTCAAGTCTGGTGCCCAGTCCACAAATTTCTTTATAGTCCAATTGAACAATAAACAGATTTTTACTGATACTTGTTAGCATTGTTATAATAAAGAAAAGTTATTTATTTATCAGCGCAACAAATTTACCTGCACATGATGTTACGCAACCTCTCCAGATTCTCAGCAGTAAAGTACCAGTATGTTCTGTCGCAACGTCTGACATCTTTGTCAATGCGATGCAAGTTGATCAAGTACATGTCGAGTGTTTCTTGCTAAACAAAAAAATGATACCAAAGTTGTTAGTGTATGTTTGAAAAAGAGGTAAAGAATGTTTTTACACTGTGCAATGCTTACAGAATAGGTCTGTTCCTCTGAGGATTCTTCATATTTGGTCACACCTCCCACCTCTGCAGATTCTGGTTCAGTAAGCACATTGTCCATCTCAGCCTCTTCCTCAGAAAGACCCAGGTCAGTGCACTCAGGACTGGTGTTGCATGCCGTGTCCAGATGATGATCCTGGGCAAGCCTCTCTGAGGCCATTTTCTCCCTTTGGGC